GGGCGAGGGGCCCCCGCCGGGGGCGGGCGGCGGCCCGGGCCCACCGGGGGGCTGGGGCCGCTCCATCCTGGGGCTGGTGCGGGGCTGGGGTGTGCGTGCGGCCGGGCAGCCCCCCCCGCCCCTGGGAGCTGCTGGCCGTGGGGCCGGGCAAGCGGGGTCTGCCGCTCTGTCACCTGGCAGGAGTGTTTCATACTCGGCTTCCTCGGAGAGTGGTTACCTTTCAGCAAACAGGGCCAAAACAGGATGACCTTGATAGAGCGGTTTGTGTGGTGTAGGTTCAGTTCTGCCGTGCTGCCGGTCCCCGGGGAGGTTGGGTGCCTGTGGGGGTTCAGACAGCCCTCCCGGTGAGCGCAGTTGATCTTTTCGCACTTGCTTTCTGTCCTGGTGGGTTATTTGTGCTTCCCCGTGAGAGATGGGTTAGGATCCCTGTGCAGCGTAGCTTCTCATTCTTTAAGAATTGCGGAGGATCACCACAGCTTGAGCTTCTTGCATCTCACTTGCAGAGCTGCCAGGTTCCACCCAGAATTAATCTTGGTTTCGGGGGTGTGTGTGTTCCTGTGGGCTTTTTTGTTTGTTTGGTTTGGGTTTTTTAAATCAGTGCTTTAATCTACAGCACACTCTCTTAGAACATCTTCAAACCCTAGTTCAGCTATCGAGGCTGAATGCTGACTAGGTTAAGACAAAAGCTGGAAGAAAGCCTAAGTGATCTCCGTGCTAAGGATATATTCTAAATTGTGATGATCAGCTCATCCTAAATTGATCCTGAAATTAACTTGCAACCATATCAGGTTTGTAACCCCTAATTAAAGCATCGGATTTAAACAGATGCTGAATTATTTGTACCTGTGAGACATTTGAGTCTGGTGTGTGTGTTTGGGTTTTTTTAAAAAAGAAAAAGCTTAAAATGAACTATTGTGTGGTTCAGCCTATTGCAGTATGCCTGTATGTGCAAATATTTCTGCTTGCTCAGTCAGCAGATACTCTTAGAATGAGTTTGTGGAGGCTTTAATCTGCTTCATTGCTGTATGATACATTGTTCTCTGTTCAAAATTACATTCTCTTCTTACTGGAATAAAAGATAATTTTAATGAACTTTCGCCTTCTGTGAATTTCATTTGGTTTTGTTGGGGATTTTTGGGGATGGAGTGGATTTTTGTTTTTTTAATTAGGGAAAATGAAAAAACAGTCTTGTAGATAATGAGTATTACAACACACCTTTTTATTCTTTTTTGGTTAGCACTGAAAAGGTTGACATTACTACAAAGGACTCTTACTTGTCTTCTGGTAAAATGTGCCACTCCCGTTTTTGTGCTGATCTGTCTTCTTTGCTGTAGGGCAGTGCTGAGTAGAACATGTCAGTGAATACTTACTTGCTGAAGTGCAGGGTGGGATTTTGCTCTCTAAGAGGTTCGAATAACTGTACTGCAGCTAACCACGCATACTCTAAAATAAAACATGCCTTAACAAAGAAATTTTTGGAGGGGTGATACGCATAGTGCGCCTCTGGAAAACTTCGTGCTTAGCTGAGTGAGATTTCCAAATTAATTCTACTGTACGGAATAAAATCCTCATTGCAGCCCAGTGTGTACAGTTTTTCTCACCTTCCGAAAACAATTTTGCTTTGCAATTTGGCTTCTGTTGAAAGAAGAACCTGAACATAATTTTCCTAAGCCAAAATTAAGCAGCTTTTCTGGAACTTCTACTGTAATAAGCATTGAGTGCATGTGTTTTATTGTCAAGTTCTATGATGCTCTAGGGAGATCAATATATGGTGATTTCTGCATATCAGTTTCTTGTGGATGCTGAAGGGTTTTTCTTTCACTAGGAGTGTACCAAAGAAGTAAAAATGTTAGATTTAGGAACAAGGTTCAGTTTGGCTGTGAAAGCAGTAACAGAGGTTAATATTTGACTAGTTAATTTGTGAAAAATATCTGATAAAGAAATCGTTTTTTTAACAGAAACTGTGAAAAATAATAACCATTTCCTTTGTGCCTGTCAGCACAGTTGATGTTCTCTTCTACTGATGGTGCAGCTGAAGCATGTTATGATGCTGTACTCATACACTTGTCACTATCAGCTGCTTGCAAGGAGTTATTAATGGAAGAATCATGTCTTAGCTTTCTGAATATGCTGTTGTTTGCAATACCTTTTTACTATAGTTCTTTGCTTATTTTCTCGCTTAGGGGTATTATTTTTAGTAAACAGCTTTGTTAGCATAAGTACTCTCCCTTTACTAAGCAAAGCTAGGTACTATTCAGCAGTCAAAATACATTTTCTTTGGTTCTTTTCCTTGTTTTCAAACTGATGTCATGCATAGCAGTATTAACTGGAATTAATGAGCCAGACATTCCAAATTAATGACAATGTTTCCCGTCACAGCAATGCAGGGTTCACAGGATTGACTGTTGAGACTACAGTGCCCAGTTAAAAAATATGGGGAAAAAGGAGAGTTTTTCTGTGTCTCGAGAGCTTCACAGACCTATACCCATGAGTCTGCTAGAACTAGCTTAAAGAAGAATTAAATTTTATGACACAGAGTAGAAAAGCACAGCCACGTTTCTCTGCATTCCATGTGTGTTTTTCATCCATCTTTTCTTTTAAGGCGGTGTTGGAGGAGAAGTAGCAGGGATGTTGTTTTAGGTTCTGAATGATCCAGGCTGTTCTCATTGTGTTGGAAAGGTTTGGTCTATTGTCCAAGGAAGTTTTGACATAATTGTCAGATGAGATTGAGAGAAAGAAACTGGTACCATTTGAGGAGCTGTTTGTGCTAACAGGAAAAAGTCCATGGCTGGAACACTGTTCATTTATAATTACTTTTCACAGTATGATTTTGGGGTTTTTTTACTAGAAGGTATAAACAAGGTATACATGAAAGCAGGTGCTTTTTGGAAGTGTCAAAATTAACTACAAATTGAATGTAAAAGTATTTGTAATATGGATTGGTTTTGTTTTGTTTTTTCTGTGGGACTGTTTGACCATGTTTGTTGTTTGTATATCACTGATACTTTGAATACTTAATGTTTGCTATAGTACTTCAAGCTTTGGAGTAGTTGGAAGATGTGAAAATGTTGGTTTACCCTGTTAAGTCATGTTTTTGGTACATTTTCTTCCAAAACAGTGTTAGTAGGAAAAATAAAAATAGCATGTAATGCCAGGTCCTGTAATGTAGATCATGATGATTCAATAATTAAGCATGGAAGGACCTCAGAGGAGCTAATTCCGAACTCAGAGCAGTCTACTTAGACCAAGTTCCTAGGACTCATCCACCTGAATTTTGAATGCCTTCAAGGTCTGAAGTTTCACCATATATCAGGAAACTTGTCCCAGTGTTTGACTTCCTAGTGAACTTTTTTTTCCCCTTAGACCAGAATTACCCTTGTAGCTGTTTGTGCCTGTTGTCTTCATGTTGTTGATACAAGTGCCTCAATGACTCGTACTCTGCCTTAACCCTTCTGTTTGTCCTATTGCTGCCTACCAAAGATCCTTATGAAGCCTTCTCCTCTAAAGGCTGAACAAGCGATTTCTCTAGGCCCCTCTTCGTGTGTCACTTGCTCCAGACCCCAGTCATTTTGGTGCCTCTTCTTTAGTGTTGCTCTGGTGTGCCAGACCTTGTATTACAAACAAGTTAATACATGGTGCTGTGTTATGATTTAGGATTGTTTTATGTCAAGGCATCATAACAAGTGTGGGGTCTGTCTGACCATGATTTTAACTTGTTTTGTTGGGGTTTTTTTTGGTCATTATTGAACTGTTGCATCTGAAAATAGCTTGAGTATGAGAAATCTTACAATGAGATTTTAAGACAAAGAGCTTGTGGTTGGTTTTGGCTTCAATTTCAAAACCATGTATCAAATCAAACAAAAAATATTTTAAATGGGTCTTCTTTTATACCTCAGATAATATCTGCTGTTTGTAAGCTCATTCTTAGCAGTACTTTGTAAAAGGAGGCTGCTAGTCAGAGGAACTTAAGATGTTTATACAAGTAGAAGGAAGGGAAAAAAACACATCCAAACTCACTCCTGTACATAAATTTTAACATTGTTTTCAATTCTGAGGTTGCTCTAGTTGGAAAGCTTTAAAGGGACTGCAGTTGGGCAGACATTTCAAAACATTAGACTTTTGTAGACCTTGTTAAAATTCTCATGTACATCATTTTGGTATTCTCCACTCTTTAAATTTGCCCTGTCTCTTGCTTCTCCAGGAATATGAAGAAAAAACTGGACGAGCTCACAGACCACTCTCTCCTAAACAGAATGTGAGGAAGAATCTTGATTTTGAGCCACTTTCCACTACAGCACTTATTTTAGAGGACAGACCAGCGTAAGTTTTGGAAAATACCACAGTGAGGGTCTCTTTAACATTAGGCTATCAAAGATTTTCTTACTGTATATATTCAGTTGCTCTAACTTTAACAGATGACTTAAAATTCGAAGTAGATTTTTTTCCAAGGTAGTGAATATGAAAGTAGTATGATTATAAGAAAAATTATTCAAGCAAAAATAACATTATTATAATGAAATCAATGAGATTGTATGAAAGAAGGTAAATAGGAGAGCAGAGCTCTAGTTTTGAGTAATTCTGCCTTATAAACATGAATAAGAGGTTTTTATTTTCTCAGAGGACATAAGCATAAAAATGAAACTGATACATGCTAAAGAAGTGGAGAACCAAGGATACAGTGTCCTGTTTACTCAGAGAAAGACCACACCTCCATAAATAATGAAACAATATAATGATTGTTCTGCAGTGGGTTCAGCATCACATTTTAAAGGTTGTCAAGTACTTGATCAGTTATTTCATGCCTCTATTACTGCAAGGAGATTCTTGCACATGCAGACCCAGTTCCATTATGATTTACTGGCAGCTGCTTTACCATGGTTTGCTCCTGAATTACGCAAATTCAGTCACGTTTAATCAATTTATGAATGGTACCCAGCTTAATAAGCATGGCATCTGCATTTTTAATATGTAAAGAACTGGCATAACACAGGTCTGTGTTTGCATCAAGAAATCCATATGAAGAGTGCTCAGATCAGAGTCGTAGGGTTATTTAAGACACTTCAGCTTGACTGGTGGAGTATGTGACAAGACTTATTGGGACATTAGAACAATGTGAGAGTAATTATTTCTACTGGCTGGTTTTATTATGTCCAGCTGGAAACTACATACTAACTTATTTGTAGCATTTAAAACCTGTATTAAAAATCATTCTTTATCTGAAATTATCTGAGAAGTACAGTGTTCAGATAGATTGAATTAGTGATACCTTACAGGATAACATTCACATTTTGCTTTCTCTCCTACTGTTGATAGACTGAAAAACTAAGATTCTAAACAATTAAATTATCACTTATTTTGTCTACTAGGGAAAACTTCTCTAGACAGAATTGCTGTCCTCACAGTCCTTTTAAATAATATTTTTAAATAGTCTTTTTTGTTTACTTACAGTTCACATACTGTATTTTTTTGCCTATAAGTAATTGACTTTTGATTTCCTATGACATGAAGCTTTAAGACTTCTGGAAGAAAAATACAGTGAGATTTTTTCCAAAATGGCTACTTTTTATTGTGCACTCCCTTGTGGGGTTTAGGTAAAACTTTATAGGAAAAAAAATCAATAAATATTCATAGTCCTTGTAGCTTTACCTTGAAAAAGTGTTCATTGGCTCTTAAAAGATACTAAACATCATCTCATACATATTGTGATGTGTTTAAGAGACAGAAAAATTATTTAAGTGGTGGAGTTTAAGTTGGCAAAACTTGAATTGTTTTATGTGATTTTCCTTTCCAAACTTTCCCTAACTTACACCATTTTCCAAGACTTTGTTTTAAAAAGATTCTGGTGACTTTACATAAACTGGAGGAGAATACATTGTGGTTTCACTAATGTGAAAATCCACTTCCCTTGTTCTTGTAGCAATCTTGATTTTTAAAAACATTCATAGGCATTTGTCACATGGCTGTGTATATTATATAGGTAATGTGGTTATGTAAGTAGTAAAGCATACTACTATTAAGGGTGACTTTTGATGGCTAGCAGCTGCTGTATGTGTGACACCATACAGGAATATGAGAATGAATTTTTGCATATCTTTTTTATGAACCCAGGATCTAAACTGTCCTAGAAATACAATACAGGGTTATACTGTACAAAATCGTTTGTCATTTCCTGTTCATGTGCTTTGGTGATCCTGTAGTTGTTTGAGATACATAGTGGTTATGTTGCTTATAGATATGATTTGCTTAAAGTTCATGTGGTCTGACATAAGCATGTGTATTTGTATGGCAGAGATGCTACCAGTCCAGGCTTTAGTCACAAATCAAAGTGACTGTGTTGGTATAACTGGAGAATACAAAGGATGCCTCTAGTGCCCCTTTTTGCTGTAGAAGTGAGGGAGAGGAGTTAAGCCTTTAAAGAATAAATGCAGTTTCAGAGAGCAGAGGAGAAAACGAAGCCGGTGTAGGGAGTCATGGCTGCAAGGGTCAAGACAATGGTGGATTTAATTCCTAAATGAGGTGCGTGGTAAGAGACAGTACAGTCTTGTATCTTAATTGTATAGATCAGTTTAAATCAAAACTACCAGCTTGGTATAAACCAGTATATTCCCTTTATTTATGAAGATCAGCCTGTGGGTTCAGTTGGTTTAATAGTAAAAATGCTGAAATTACCAAACGTAAGGAAATTACTCAGCATATTTTGTGTATAAAAGTAGTCATAGCTGGTCAGTGTTCTTTCCTTCTCTTCTGCTGACTCTGGCAAAAAAAAAATTCTATCCAAGGGTCTGTTGGTCTGTGTTTTGATCAAATGTTTTGACAAGAAGCAGTGTATGTTTTTCTTTTCGAAGTGTCTAGAGTTTTCTTCAGAGAGGCTTGCCAACTTTAAATACTGATTATTATTATTTTTCAAATTTAAGGAACCTGCCTGCAAAACCAGCAGAAGAAGCTCAGAAACACAGGCAACAGTACGAAGAAATGGTGGTTCAAGCAAAAAAAAGAGGTGATGGAATTTCTTGTCTTCAGAGAAGTTAAGGGTATTTTTAAACCTGAAATGCATTCATGTCAGTCTGTTTTTCTGAAATGTGACGGCTCTGTACCTCCTCAAAAAGAAGAATCAATCCAGAAAAGAGAGAGGAATTAAGGTAGTTTAATTAAAAAGCCTCACCCTAAGCTGAAAAGTAAATCAATCCTAGAATACAGCAGGAAAAAAAATAGTAATTTGTAACTCTTAAATAATTGTGGCATCTGTTTGTGCATTTAAAAACATACTAGTATATTGAATAGATTCAAATTAATGAAGGCTAGACTTATTTAGATAACTACAGGATATTTGATAGTTTCATGTTAGGAACAATGCATTGAGACTGTAGTACATAAATGCATAATTTTCCACTTGGGAAAATGTGTGTGGTTATGTTTATTAATGTGTCTCCCACTTAAAATTGACAGCTTTCCCAAGGTTCTGCTCGTAAGTTATTGTTGGATGTTGTTTATAGAAGTGTCTCAGGAATACTTTATGGTGCACATCAGGTAGAGCTGACAGTTGTGGTTTTCTTGTGCTGATATTTTTGACTGTCTGGGTTTTCTAATAAAAACAAGCATTACAATAATAAGAAATCTGGATTCATAGGAATTGTGTCTAGTGACAGCTACTGGAAATATTTTTTTGTTCAGCTGGCCAGATCCCTGAGCTATATGAAACAGTGAAAAGGTGATAGGAACACAGAACTTGCTTGCTTTCTGCAGCTGACATATTAATAAAAGTACCCTCATGTGGTTCTGAACATTGTGACCTACCAATAAAGTTCTAACTATGTGACTCCCATGTTAGTATGTCCTCTTAATATGTAGTAGTCCAAAGAAATTTCTCCATTCTTTCTTTGCACATAAGGTAGATGGTTTGGGAGAAATGAGATGATTCTCAGGTTAGAAAATGGGCCAGGTCCCATTGCTGCTGCTTCACTGGCTTGGAGTATATAATTTTGTCCAGATAAATACCCTGACAAACCCATTTTCCCAAAAGCCACTCTGGATGTGCAACTTTGTGAAGCAATGTATTGTGTAGAGGTCAGGAAATCAAAGACTGTAAACACCCTCTTTATGTTTAGAGAAAAATTAAAAGCTTACATTTAGGCAGGCTTCCAGAGAGCTCATATCAAGGCTGAAATTATTAGGAGGCAGTTGGTGTGGTTCTGCTCAGGCACATCTTGGCCTTTAAAGTGGACCCATCAGGTTGTGTGTGTTAATTCCAAAGACCTTGATCATGGTCCTGTGTTTCTTCAGTCAGTTTTCCTTGCCAGGTCAGTACCTTCCTGTATTGTAGACAGTGTTCCTGTGCATACCAAGTCCTGTATTTCCACTGTGCTGCTATAAAGAGTGTTTGCCTGCATTTGTTAAATTACATCTCTAACAAATTTGCCTCTGGAAAAAACTAGTAATTTATGATGCAAGAAGAAATACTGAACGATAATGCAAAACATGCAAAGTCTGTTTAACGCGAAAAGTGTTTTTTTTTCAGTACATTCATATTTGTGATGTATGACATTTAGATTAATCGTATGCTGAGTAGCATCCAACATGTGGCTTTTGTGATTTCCTGACAGTATATATAAATCACACGTAAGAGTGAAAGCAAAATACATAATTTGTATTATTTTAGCTTGTATTTTAGAGTCTATAATAAAAAAGAGGTGGGACTTTATTAAGAAATACTCTGACCTGTCCTACTAGGTGGTGCTGTTGGCTGTCAGAGATGCTAATTCAAAGTTAGTAATGTGGTTCGATTTCAAGGGTCAGAGTAGCCATATATTCTCCAACTCCCTTTGTCACATCCATCAAAAATGAACCTTATGCAGTTGCACTTTTTTTTTTTTTTTTCACGTTTGCCGTTGCTGCTTAGCTTGCTGTATGTCTGGGAAATACTTAGAATTGGAACAGCCCACTGTACATTTAGGTGAACATAGTGTGCTTTTTACATTACTATATACCCACGAATAGCTAACTCTAAATATTTGGTTCCTGGCTTTATTAACTTAAAAAGATAATTGCTTTTCTGCAGAGCTTAAGGAAGCCCAGAAGAGAAAGAAACAACTGGAAGAGCGCTGTAAACTGGAAGACAGCATCGGCAATGCTGTTTTAACTTGGAACAATGAAATCTTGCCCAACTGGGAAACGATGTAAGACAGTATGTTGTACTGAGTTTTAATTAAAATTGCTGAGTCTCCATCCTGAAGGGAAGTCATAAATTTAGCATGTCTCATTTTAAATGGTCTTGGAAGCTTTTGTTTGAAAGTAGCTTTTGGAAAGCTACAATGAAGATCAGCAACATGTTTTCATTCTTCCTACAAGGTGGCTAGAAGTGAGGCAGTTCTTATTATTTGTCTTTAATGGAGGTTCTTAATATTCAGAAACTGTAAAACACTGAGAAGTTACCTGTGGTAGAGGATGTAAAAGTAGAAAGCATAATGGTTGAACACCATGCATTTATCAGAAGTAAGCTTTCCTTGACTGCTTGAGCTGTTGATGTTAAAGAGTATCAGATGTAGATTGAACTGTGTATATGGTATTACAAAACCTCGTTAATTACAGGGTGGTGCACCTGCTGGGATAATCAAGTGATGGAAAAGAGAAGTAGGGACAGAGTTATTTTAAAAAATATCAAGTGCTAACCAATTTCCTGCAAAAGCACAGCACAGCAAAGCTGGCTGGGAAACTGCGTGTCTCAATTGCACAGCAAGGGGATGACAGAGCGGAGAGAGTAAACTTCCATAATGTGTTTCTGTATTTAATTTTACATGGAGATTTAAGTCTGTCTAGTCTTTAGCACAGGCAGTGGCATAGATCTGGATTTCATTTTCATGCGTTGATTTCTGTCCCCTGTGACTTTTACTGGTCAAGTGTGTTTGCAGATTAGAGTTACTGTGGTTGCAGTGCTTCTGTCAAAATAAGCCATTAACTTGGAAGGAATTAAGCAAAATAGTACTAAAGAATGGGTATGTGCAAACCACATTTGACTTGGTGGTCTGTTGATACTAATTTTGGTTTGGATCCCTTCAGCAGTGGTAGGACACGTGCTCAGTTCAGCTGGCAATGAAATACTTCTTAGAATAATCCATTTTATTTTAAACAGGTGTTGTTCCCGAAAAGTTCGAGAGCTGTGGTGGCAGGGAATCCCACCTAGTGTGAGAGGCAAAGTCTGGAGCTTGGCAATTGGCAATGAGCTAAACATCACCCATGGTGAGGCTGTCTTTTTTTCCCTACCTTGTCTTACAAAGAGAAATAGGAAAGGGACAGTCTTTTATTTATTATAGTCTGTCAGAGCCTGAGGTGTGGGTGTGAGCTGTTATCTAGTTAAACTGTTTTTGTGGTACTTTGATGTGTTTTGTTCAAAGGTACTGTGTCTTTTAATCTTGTAACTGCTCTAGGACTGCTACTGTGATTGTTTCTTATTATTGTTGTCGCTGTGTCTGGCTTTGATGTTAGACGGAGATGGCCAGAATTAATGACTCAAGCTTTTTTTAAAAAAAATAACTTAGAAATATTAATTTAGTAATACTTGTGAGTGGGCATATAGCATGCTTCCTTTGATTTGGAGCAAGACATTAGGTTTGTGAGAGACTAAAAGACCCTGGGAAAATTTGTATTTCTGTTTATATGTGTGTTTGTGAGAACAGAAATAGTGTGCTGCTTCAGGGTACAGAAAAACACAGGTCTGAAAGACTAACATATATAATTAATTCCAGCATGGGAACGTGATAGACTGCCTGCACTCCTGCTGTATTGTGCTGCTTTTCTGTGCTGGACTTAGTTACTTTGGGTGTCATTCTTACATGGAATTTTCTAGACTTAGCCCAGTTATTCATCAGACTATAATTTTGAACACCAGTGCTCTGCAAGAAAAGTAAATACTTCAATGTAAAATGCAGCTTGTGCCTAGATTGTCTGTCCTTTTTACTTAAGTTATAGGTCAGTGGAACAAGTCTTCTAGAACCATAACCTACCTAGAAATTCAACACCTGTGTTAGAGACACTGTTGCTTGTAATGACTAGGGCAGCATTTCTCATATGGTAGGTAGGTGGTACCTGGCAGTGGGGACACAAACAAATAATGAACTTGGTTTTATCTGTTTATCTCTTTCCAGAACTGTATGATATTTGCTTGGCACGTGCCAAAGAGAAATGGCGATCACTTAGCACAGGAGGGTCGGAAGCAGAATGTGAAGGTGGGCTTTACCTGGAGGGTTTATGCTGTGTTACAAAATAAGCAATTTTGTAAAATTGTTCCTTGAAGTGAAATCACGGATTTTAGAAAAAAAAAACCACAACAACCCAACAAACTATAAAGATGCCTCTGGTGAAAACAAAGCTGCTTTTTGTGTAAGAAAGAAATTGCTGAGTTTTTTATTTCTTCTTGATGAAACATAGTCTTTTATAAAACATACTCTTTTTTCTTTATAAGTCATGTCTAGGTACAGTTCGTCTTTGATGCTAATTTATAGGAAACCTAGGAAAGTTTAGGGATTACAGTTTTAATTGCAAGACTGAAATAGTTCTCTGCATCTGTAGTTTTAGAATTGAAACTAATTATAGCACAACGTGGCATTTTAGTCCCTTATGGCAGCTTTGAGCCCATCTCTTGGGTGTGTTTCAGAGAGCAGCAATTTATTTTTGCAGATGAAGTATTTTGAGATTTACGGATTAGTTGGAGGAATTGTCTAGTTTTGAGACAGTGTAAAACTACATGCAGATACTATAAACTGCCTTTGGTAAATAATTACGCTAAGCAGAAAAAGGGGAACGTATATACTGGCATTTATCAACAGAAAAATATTTATTGGGAATTCCCTAGTTTGTTCCTTTAAGACTGTCTGCATCTTAAGTAAGATGGCATGTAGTACATTTCCAGCTTCCTCTTGCAGTTTATTTCCTGGAATATAAATGCTCATGTGATTGTTGTAAACACTGGCTAGTGACAACTGTTCTTTTTTGATTGCTCAATAAGTAGCAGTAGGTAATTCCCAGCTGTACTTCCCAGAGCAGAAAATGCAAATAAAACTTTTTAATATGAGAAAGAAAACTAGTATTTTAGAAATGTACTTTGTGTGAGATCTGTTTCAGTTATGGGGGGCATATTGCAACATCCATGATCTTTAACAACACATACAAAGAGCAAATAAACATGATTTGCAAGGAGAACTGATGGTAGTAGTGATAGGTGGTATCCATCAGAAGTGTCTGCTTTAGGACTTCTCTCTTCCACCACAACCTTCTAAAGAGGCAGCTATTTTAGGAGCCACTGGGAAGCTTTGCTGAGGGCTCACAGGATAACAGCCTTCTGCCTGCTGAATGTCTTGTCAGCAGACAGCAGTAGAGTACCTGGCCTGCCTTGTCCTGCATCTTTCCCTCTACCACTTCAAAACATACTGAGGGTCAATATATCCACTGTAGGGTTGTTTTGAGTCAGGTCATATCTACTTCTTACCCTTTGTGCTGTGTTCAGGGAATTGTCCTGTCTATACCTTTATTCCCTAGTAGTCACACTGAAATAAGTGTGAGCTGTGCAAAAGCTAATTCCTTTCTTGGGAGGGAAAGAGCATACACTGATTCTTTTAACAAATGCAGTAACTTTGGCTTTTGTAGATGCTGGATTTTCTGCAGCTGACAGAGAAGCAAGCTTGGAGTTAATAAAACTGGATATCTCAAGAACGTTTCCTAATCTATGTATATTCCAGCAGGTAAGCAATGTTAACGTATATCTTGACATCTCAGAGAAATTAAGTTTACATAATCTTGCCTGTCCCGTGGTGAAATAGCCTGTGGAGTTCAAATCTGAAGGAGTATGTAATATGTAATTGATGTATTGAAAGAACTGTATGCATTTGTGATAAATGTGGTATAGAGGACTGTTTCATGCTTTTAAAGTCAAAATTATTTTTAAAAACTTGGGGCTGTCCAAAGCTTCATAGGGAAATAATATCTTTTCATGAGAAATAATGGAATACTGTCTGTAGAGCTGAAGGGTTTTTAATATGTTTGTTACATACTCACATATATTGTCTTGTTTTTGTTTAATTATAGGGTGGTCCTTACCATGACACATTGCACAGTATTTTAGGAGCCTATACTTGTTACAGACCTGATGTAGGCTATGTAAGTGAAGAAAACTTTTTTCAGGGGTGGGGAGGGAGAGAGGATTGTGTTAATCAGTCCTTTGCAGACCAATACTGGATTATTTTTATGAATACTTATGGGGTTTCTGTGTGCTTTCCTCTGTTCCAGTACATGTTTGAGAAGTGTTTATAATGGTTCTGTTGTTACATTTAAGCTTTTTAACAGGTTAAGTAATTGGCAAACTCAAAAAATAAGTATCAGTAGTGATTGAAAATTGGAGACAGAAGATGCAGTTAAAATTATCCTTTGGAGTACATACTGTTCTTAATAGCAGTCTTACTTACACTCTTCTCTTGAGTTGATTATCTGAATCCTCTTCATACACATTTCTGTGCCTTAGCACTGTAAGCTTCTGGAACAAGTCTTTAAAGCAGTGCCCATTGAGGGTACCTGAGCTCCCTCAAAGTATTTGAAGTAGTGATTATGAGAGGACTGAGTGGATTTCAGATGCTTTAGTCAATTTTTTTTTTTCCCCAGAGCAGAGAGAGATACATACATTCATACACACATATATATAAGCAAGCGTATTCTTTATTCAGGAGCAGTTGTTTTGTAGAAAGATAATGTTCCTATTCTGTGTATAGCATTCAGTGCTTGGCCAAAACTGCTGTACATGACTGCCTGGAAACTAGAAAAAGGGCAGATCAGTTGGTGTACTTCTTTTGGCATGGAACCTGTTATTGTGTTGGGAAGAAGCTTGTTCCTCAGGTTTTCAGGAAGGACTGTCACACCTTGGTCCATGTGACTACAGTGGCAGCGTTACACCCCCTGAGTGAGGAAGCTTTGCCTAGATTTGGCACTGATTCCATAGCATACTTCGTAGAATGATGCAGCCACATAATAAGCTTCTGGTAAATGAAACAAGAGCTTAATCTTAAAATGTGACTTCCTGCTTGTCAAATGAGCCGTTGCAGTTGTCAGTAGCTGCTGGTAATCTGTTGAAAAAGGAAGAGAACAAGCTTTGTTTGTGGTATCCTAGCCTGGCTTTCCACAAATAAGCATTATAGATGACCCATTCCTAGAAAAGTGATTGCTTAGAAACAACTTATTATTCAGAAAAATCTTTATTCTGCATATTAGAAAATGCTGTTGTCCTAGCCTGTCTTGGGAGTTTTGCTTAGAGTCTTTGGAAGGAGGTGATGTGGGGATCAGTAGCTTCCATGCTCTGAACATGCAATACCAAAGTGTCACGTGTGTTAAAAAACCCTGCCTTTCTGAATGTTTAACAGATTTCAGCTGCTCAGCATTTAAGTGCATTAAACACTAGTGATTACAAGGACAAAATGAGGCAATATTCTTGGCAGAATAGTTATTGCTGAATGGTAACACTTCTCATTTCTTCAGGTACAGGGCATGTCATTCATAGCAGCAGTATTGATCTTGAACTTGGATACTGCAGATGCCTTCATTGCTTTTTCTAACCTTTTAAATAAACCCTGTCAGATGGCGTTTTTCCGTGTGGACCATGGCCTTGTAAGTATGCAAGAAAACTGTCAACTACGTGTTGCAGATACGTGGAGGGAAAGTTTTTTTTAAAAAATAATAGTTTAAAAAAAATAATGCTAATTAAAAAGTAGTAGTTGGGAAAATGAGTCAGAACTTATTTTGAAGCAATACGCTTGATAAAAACAATCCAACACACATATACCCCCCTCAGAAAAAACAAACCAAAGCACACCCCACTAACCTTTGGAACAAGTAGGTGAATAAACTTGTGCAGCTACTATTTTTATTCAGCTCAGAGAATAGTTATAAGAATATTATTTTAGGTGTTTTTCAAATTGAACACTGGTTGAAAGCAGAAAACACCTTTATATTAGAAGGTGCTTTTTATCCCAAACTAATAGATTGCTAAAAATAAACTGTTGCAGGGAGAACCAGATTTCCCATCTCTTATTGTAGCTGTGTTTGAAAAGTAGCCTGAGGGACTCAGATGGGTAGAGACCCCTCCAGTTTTCAGTGGGAGCTCACTGCATGATTTCTCTCTGGAGTCTCTAAAATTCCTTGTTAGCATGTACACTGTGCTGCCTGTATACCATTGCAAAATAAGACACATCTCTTAAAATGTGATTTGAATCTATTTTAAATGTTGGGGCTTTCTAATAGGTAGCATTCTGTACTTCTTTCTCACTTACTTACCTTTTAACGCTAGGAAAATAGGATCTGCTTCTCGGAAATTCAAATAGGAGAAGTTAATCAAGGAAGTAGATGACATCAACAGCAATGACTTTGGTTGCTTGAGCAGTAGGACAGTAGGGAACGTATTAGTGTTTCCTGCTGGAAAAAAAATATGGAATTCCCTGTTGCATCTTCCAAATCTCATCAGTTGTAAATGCCCATGGGGAGATGTACCACAGCATAGAAAGCATTGGTCTGTCGTGCATTCAGTGTGTGGTTCTTGTGAAGATTATTTTGGAATGAATGTGCATTCAGTGTGTAAATGTGGTTCTTGTGAAGATTATTTTGGAATGAAATTTGCTAGAATAAGATACTTTTTTAGCTAAGATAGTGGTTTTTGATATGCTCTGTTTTTGGTAGCCTGGAGACTCTGTGAGCAATAAATGCTTACAGAAGAGTAGAGATGGTGATAGCTGAAATAATATTAACATACCATTAAATTACAAAGCCATGATTCACACCACAAGGAAAACTTTACACCTGGTATTTCAAACAGATTAGTGAGACATACAGTAGGAGAGTTTGATTTCCTATGGTTAATATACTGATCTGCTGTCTACCCTCCTCTTTTTCTGTCAGTTTTGCAATTTAATAACCAAATGCTGATTTATTGTAACATACAATAAATAAAAAAAAATAAAACCAGCATATGTCAGTTGTGGAAATTATGGTAATTTATACCAATTTATTTTTATTTTTTTTTGTTGGTTACAGTTTCATTAAGCTTGAATTTGCTTCTAAGTAAATGTGTTGTTGAATGTTGATTTGATCAAGATAAATACCTGAACTACTATTACATTTCTAATAGAACTACTTGCATTACTATCGATAAATGTGATTGTAGTGGTTGTTTGTTACTTCTTTAACTTACTTTTGAAACATTTTGGCAGAACTGTCTTACTGTGGTGCCAACATGTAAACAGATCATTTTGGAAGCAGAACTGTAGCTGATGGTTCAGAGATTTTACATAGCCTTTCTGTAGAATACACCCATCTCTGCCTGGCTTTTAAGCCTTATACTCTTACTGACTTCCAGGCTCTATTTTTTATTTGCTGCTGTTAATGAAGGTAATCCACCATCTGTCACTTCATTCAGATGAGACGAGAAATTTTTGTAAGGACATTAAAAAAAGTGGGAAAGAATTGTGTCATTCTTTAAAAGAATTTCAGCCAAAAGGCTCCTCTTTTCCCTTCACTGCCATGGTGTTTTGGGGAGAAGCATGCTGATAGACCTCATACTTCAAAGAAATTGCAGCCATTCTTGATTGCTTTTATTAGGATAATAAAATCAATAAAATTTTAATTAGGATAAATGAAATTCCTGAACCATTCAAGAACTTTGCTTAACTTTTTTCCCCATAGTATTAAGAGGAGAGGGGGGAGTGAAAAAGCCTTTTGTTTTTAACTCTTAGTTGCCTTGGAAGATTTTCAGTGTCCTCCATTATGATATTTGACCTAAATATTCAAATTTTGAAATAACAGCAAAGTATTTTTGTTAAGAGGAATACAATTGAGAGGTTTCGATATCAGATGGGAGTTACAGTCTGTTCCTCTTGCATATGTGTTTTGTCTTGATCTTTGACTTTTCTGTATGAACTTTGTCTCTCCCTTTTTGCAATAGAAATGCTATTCTCTCATTTAAAAATGCATGGTAAAAAAGAAAGTCTGCTGTTACAGTATAAGTTACATTTGAAGCTAACTGGATATTTCACTCATGCTGTGGACTGTTAAATTATTTTAGTTCCCTATTTCATTTTATTATTAGTTGGGACTTGGATTTTGTTCAGTGTAATATCGAATTACTCTCACAAGCATAAAGCACCATTCTGTTATCATAATTATTTTGAGAAATCTGACTTCTCTCCTGCTGGCATTTTTCTTTCCTAAGGAAGCTGGCCAGGACCCAAAACAATAATTAAATTCTTTAGTATGAGAACAGTATATAGGATGGATCTTCTTGCTGATGCTGTAGTTTATGTAAATGTTAAACTCTTTGTTGTATCATGTAATTCATAGAATCCTGTTCTTGAAGAGCATTAATCCAACAACAGATAATACATTTAAGCCTGTTAATACAGCTAACTGCTTTTTTCTCCCCATTGTATTTTCCCAGATGTTGACTTACTTTGCTGCATTTGAGGTATTCTTTGAAGAAAATCTGCCAAAGTTATTTGCTCACTTCAAAAAAAACAACTTAACTCCAGACATCTATCTTATAGATTGGTAAGACATTGAAAGTATAATTAATGTGCATACTGGTGGATAGATGCATGTCAGTATTCCTGACAGAAGCTGGAGTACTCTTACCTGGTTTAGTATTCTTGTAAGATTAAGACTTTGTCTTTTGTTCAGTACTTGAGTTTTTCAATCCAAGTAATTCCCATGCACTTCTGTGATGTTTAACTTTTGCCTAACCTTTATTCTTCTACTTCTTTTGAGTGTGAAGCTTACTTTGAAATACTGCTCTTTTGCATTGTTTATCCATATTTTGTGCCTGTTTGTGTTGATGATCTGAGAAGATCTGTTGGCTTTTCTACTTGATTTGCAGGAGTGTACCAGGAGTGTATATCCAGACAGTATTGCTAGTCTTGTGTTTGAAAGTTATAGTTTGTCCTAGAAGCTACAGAAAAGCAAACAATTAGGCTTTTGGCAGGATGAACTACAGCTCCTGGGCAGTATCTCACTCATATGTCCCAGATCCTGCTTAGAGGATCCCAGTGCAGGTTGTTTTAAAACTGATCTTGACATAGTCCAGTTGAATAGCTAAAGGGCATTAGCATGTTTTTAATTACTGCACCTATTCATTCCACTTAGGCAATTACAATATTTTTATTTGGTAAAACTGCCTTAGTTCTAGCATAATTAAAACCTTTTCTGTAGAGAGGGAAAAAAGACAAGGAAGTTATTTGCTCTCCTGTCAGTTTTCAGTGCACTGTAAGGCACTCCAAATGGAATGATTGCATTTGTGTCTATCAGGCGTTGGTTTGGGGCAGTGAAAATGTCTCTTCTCAGCAAGACTTAGTTGTCACTTTCAGGATGATATGAAATCTTTTTGTGAAAAATTGATTTGCCCTTAAATTGTTGACAACTTCTCCTGTTCTCAGGACAATACCTTCAGTAAAAGGAGAATATCTGAGTACCTTCAGTAAAAGATGGAATTCCAAGTAATAACAGCATTTTTTTCTGAGATGAATAAGTTTTTATTTTTTTAAAGATTTGTACTGTTAATGCAATTCTACCTGAACCAAACTGTTGATACCCTGGTGATCCTTAAGATGTAGTTGTTAGCACTGAACATGTTCCTGATCCATTAGACAGAAATCCATTTAAAGTAATTCAGTCCAATCCAACAGCTAGAAGTTTGAATATATGAGTTTTCATAGTATCATAGAATTGCTGGTGCATTGGAAGGGACCTCTGGACATCATCTGGTCTAAACCCACTGCTCAAAGCAGGATCGGCTAGAGCAGTTTGCTCAGTCGCTTGTCTGGTCAGGTTTTTAGTATCTCCAAGGATGGAGGAGACTCCACCACCTCTTCAGGCAACCTGTTCCAGTGGTCAACCACTGTGAACAAGTTTTTGCTTTTCCTGTGCTTGAAGGGAATTTTCTGTATTTCAGTTTGTTCCTATTGGCTCCTGTCCTTTCACTGGATACAGCTGAGAAGAGTCTGGCTCTGTCTTCTTTATGCCCTCCTATCAAGTATTTTTACATATTTAGGTGCAAATCTATTTCACCGTCTATTGTCCTGTTTAAATAAAACAAGTTTTCCCAGCCTCTCTCTCTGTATATCAGGTGCTCCAAGCCTTTAATTGTATTCATGACCAGCTGAGCTTGCTCCACTATTCCCATGTGTCTCTAGTACTGGAAAGCTCAGAGCTGGCTCACCAGTGGTGAGTAGATGGATGACCTCTGCCTTGGTCTGCTGGCGGTGCTGTTCCTAATGCAGCACAGGAGTTTTTCGATGTTCTTTGTGGCAAAGGGAAGTTGCTGACTTACATTCAACTTGTCCACCGGGACCTTTGTGTCCTTTTCTTCAAAGCTGCTTTGCAGCCTCTTGGCTTCCTGTGTGTATTGGTGCCTGGGCTAATTTCCCTCCATAGATGCAGGACTTGGTATTTCCTTTTGTTGAACTTCATGAGACTCATGTTGGCTCATTTCTCCAGTATCCCCACCTTGTGGGAGTGGTGTATCAACCACCAAGTTAGTCATCTCATTGTAGAAGACTATCAGGTTGGGTCAGGCAGGATTTTGTTTTCGTAATTCCATACTGACTTCTCACAATCACCTTTTTTACCATCCTGTGTTCTGAAATTATATTCAGGATCCTTTTTTCCATTACTTTCCCAAGGATGGTGGTGGGGCTAACAAGGCTGTAGTTCCCTGAATTGTACTTCTTAAAGATAGGAGAGACATTTATTTTATTTTAGTCCTCAAGAACCTCACCTGGTCACTGGGACTTTGCAAAGATAGTTGAGAGTGGCCTCACAGTGACAACAGACAGTTTCCTCAACACTCACGAGTGTGTCTGACCAGGTCTCATGCACTTGTATATGCCTAGTTTGTTTAAAAGTTCCCTAATGTGGTCCTCCTTGCAGTAGGCTTTCCCACTGGTCTGGAGGACCTGGGATTCCTGAAGGCAAGGTTCCTCAGTAAAGGCTGAGATGAAGAAAACAGTGAGTACAACAGCCTACTGCTACTTTGTGACTGGGTTTCCTGCCCCATTCAGTAATAGGTTCATGTTCTCCTAAGTCTTTTTTTATGCTGATGTCCCTGTGGAAAGCCCTTCTCATTGTCCTTAACATCCACTGTCAGATTCAACTCCAGATGGCCCTTGGCTTTCCTAGCCCCTCCCCTGCATACTCAGGTGATGTCTCTGTTTCTCCAGGGTTATCTGCCTCTCCTTCATCCCCTTGTATGCTTCCTCTTTATATCTGAGTTGTGTCAGGAGACTTTTGTTCATTCACACAGGCCTCCTGCTGCTTTTTCTTGAGATCCTTAATTTTCATACGCCTCTTGCACAGAAGATAGTGTAACTTGGGCTTTGTTTGACTTGGCTTTTACACTGGGACTAAATTTTAACGCAACATGAGTAGGAGAGTAAAAGGATACGTAATGGATAGGCTCATTTCTCCCAGCATTTGATGGGAGAAATACCATTGGAAGGATTTTTTATAACTACAAGCTGAGAGTATTAAACTAAACTAGATCTATGCACAGAACAGGGAGATGCCAGAAGAAGCAGTGGCTGGGATAGAAGGGAAGAGGGCAGAGGCTGCTATGTTCGATGATAAGAGGAAAGGTGTTAAAATAATACTGCCTTAGACAATGCTGTGAAAAGCATGTGTGTGGAGGAAGCAATAAAAGGCGTATCAGAAAAGGAAGACTGTCAACACACTGGAGAATAGCTGGATTGACAGCATAAAAATCACCAGGTTATCTTTTTAATGGATTAATATTTTAATATGGTGCTCTTGTAAATAAGGTAGGTTTTTTAATGTAGGAGAGACTAAAAATTGGTATCTTCATGGTGCAGGCATGTTAATAGCACTCCTGTCTAGCTTTGAGCTTTACATTCTGAAGAAGAAATCCTGAGGAACAACACTAGAAACTGGAGATTTAGAAAAAGTCTGTTTTGATGGATGGTTTCCATTCCCCTTAGTAGTTTTGCTTTGATAGACTACTCTTTATTGCATTTTCTTGAGTGATTTTCTTTTCATTTATGTGACCAGTTGTTCTCTCTGAGAATATATATAGGTTAAAAAAAGAAGAAAAAACAACAACAAAAAACCCACAACTGACTTACAAGTAAAGAACTGAAGTGTTGAAGTCTAAGTGTGTGGGACACATCAGACCCCCTTTTGTACTTCTGTGCATATTGTTGAAAGCACTTGGTAGCTACTTCTGTCAGGAGTGCTTGTGGATGGCGCTTCTCAAGGTCTTTGTACGAATGGACTGGCAACCTGTTGCATTTCTTGCTGAGTACATATTCAGGACTTTTTTCCATTACTTTCCCAAGGATGGTGGTGGGGCTAACAAGGCTGTAGTTCCCTGAATTGTACTTCTTAAAGATAGGAGAGACATTTATTTTATTTTAGTCCTCAAGAACCTCACCTGGTCACTGGGACTTTGCAAAGATAGTTGAGAGTGGCCTCACAGTGACAACAGACAGTTTCCTCAACACTCACGAGTGTGTCTGACCAGGTCTCATGCACTTGTATATGCCTAGTTTGTTTAAAAGTTCCCTAATGTGGTCCTCCTTGCAGTAGGCTTTCCCACTGGTCTGGAGGACCTGGGATTCCTGAAGGCAAGGTTCCTCAGTAAAGGCTGAGATGAAGAAAACAGTGAGTACAACAGCCTACTGCTACTTTGTGACTGGGTTTCCTGCCCCATTCAGTAATAGGTTCATGTTCTCCTAAGTCTTTTTTTATGCTGATGTCCCTGTGGAAAGCCCTTCTCATTGTCCTTAACATCCACTGTCAGATTCAACTCCAGATGGCCCTTGGCTTTCCTAGCCCCTCCCCTGCATACTCAGGTGATGTCTCTGTTTCTCCAGGGTTATCTGCCTCTCCTTCATCCCCTTGTATGCTTCCTCTTTATATCTGAGTTGTGTCAGGAGACTTTTGTTCATTCACACAGGCCTCCTGCTGCTTTTTCTTGAGATCCTTAATTTTCATACGCCTCTTGCACAGAAGATAGTGTAACTTGGGCTTTGTTTGACTTGGCTTTTACACTGGGACTAAATTTTAACGCAACATGAGTAGGAGAGTAAAAGGATACGTAATGGATAGGCTCATTTCTCCCAGCATTTGATGGGAGAAATACCATTGGAAGGATTTTTTATAACTACAAGCTGAGAGTATTAAACTAAACTAGATCTATGCACAGAACAGGGAGATGCCAGAAGAAGCAGTGGCTGGGATAGAAGGGAAGAGGGCAGAGGCTGCTATGTTCGATGATAAGAGGAAAGGTGTTAAAATAATACTGCCTTAGACAATGCTGTGAAAAGCATGTGTGTGGAGGAAGCAATAAAAGGCGTATCAGAAAAGGAAGACTGTCAACACACTGGAGAATAGCTGGATTGACAGCATAAAAATCACCAGGTTATCTTTTTAATGGATTAATATTTTAATATGGTGCTCTTGTAAATAAGGTAGGTTTTTTAATGTAGGAGAGACTAAAAATTGGTATCTTCATGGTGCAGGCATGTTAATAGCACTCCTGT